AGAAAAGCGATTTATTCCGTCTTGACAATTAAGTGTACACGCCACGGACAAATGAGGTCCGCTTTCTGGAGAAAAAAAAGAGAGATGATAATGCCGATGGTGATGATGGTAAAGCATGGGACATTGCATTGGATGATGCAGGGATGAAGGGAGAGAGGGAGGGAGGAGTCCAAAAGATACACAAGTCCACAATCGCGTAAAAGCAATGATTGCTGGTGAAAAGTGAGGCTTGTGTCGAAAAAAAGTATATATATAGGTGTGTGTATATATATAATACAATTTGCCTAAGAAATATGTGCAATAGTGGTGGTTCGTCGACTAAAATGGGTTCTCGATAAAGGCAAAGTGAGACGAACAGGTAGGATCAAGTGATAAAATGCAGACTAGAAAACAAAGAGCTACCGAATGGATGGGCCAATGAGACGTGGCTGCAGGGAATAGGGCGGAAAGGTGGGGTGGGGTGGGGGGTGAAGTCGATACTGTACAAGGGGAGAGCGTGTGGCTGATGGGTCAAAAGGCAATTGAGTCACCAACCTCTTCAAAGGCAGTCAGAGATGGAGGCGAATGAGACAAGGGGAGAAAAGAAGAAAGAAGGGGTGGGGAAATGCGGCCGTCGTCGTCGAATCACGTGGCTGTAGAACATGGTCGCTTCGATTTGAGTATCATGGAACGTCGACTGCGTGTGGTTGGCTCCAACTTGATGCGCACACCGGCCACGTGTTCGGCCACTTTACGCCTGGCCGCCACCTCTTCTTCATCCTCCTCCTCGTCGTCAAGGTCGTCGTCAGCGTGTGTGTGCAGTCGCGACTCGGCGATGACCGGCAAAAGCCGCGTGTGCACAGGCATGACGGAAAGGTGTGTCAGACTGGCGTCACGCAGAAGCAGCGGAGAAGCACCGGTGGCCAGACTGGCTTCGTGGTTGCCATGCGAGGCGACAGTGTCATCTTCACCGGTTGCGCGGACCGGTTTAAGGCGAGGCAGAGTGACGAGGATGGGCGGCCGTGACAACGGAGAGGCTGCTGTCGAACCGCCGTTCTCCTCGTACTCCCCCTGCCCCTTCCCGTCCGCCTCTGTCTCTCG